ATTATGGAGCTACTCAATAGTCATTTCTCTAAATTTGTGATTAGAATTGACATACCTAGCAGTTGGGTCTTTGGCCTCTGCAATAAGAGCTATTATAATGGGGAAACCTCTAAAACGGTCTCCAACCCACCCATCCACAATAATAAATCAGTAACAATAATGTTCAATCCCAGGGGGAACAGTGGAGATCAGTGCCAGCTGTAAAGATGTCAGGATTCAAAGATGGTGGTTCCTATCACAGCTCTGTTTAATTAAACCGTCTGGTCCCTGTAGAAACTCATGGATCCTGGTGGATAACAGTGCACAAATGTAAGCTCAACCAAATAGCAGCCCCAATTGTAGCTGCTGTACCTAATCTGATATTTTTGCCAGATCAGATTAATGTGGTCTCAAGTATGTGGTATGTAGCCATTGATTTGACAAATGTGTCCTTTTCTATCCTAATCAAGAATCAGAAATAGTTCACATCAACATGGAAGAGACAAGTTTTGCCCCACTTATGTTACATGACATCAGTTTGATCAGACAGGGCATACTAGAAGTGGTTAGTACACTGAAGGCCTTGGTAGGTCGCGTGCAAACCAGAGGGTGGGAAATAAACTCTGTAAAGATTCAGAGGTCCAGTGATCAGAGGCATGTTGGGATATCCTCTAAAATATTAAAAAAAAAAATTGCTGCATCTTGCATCCCCTTACTCAAAGAAGAAAGCGCAATCCCTGGGAAGCCTCTTCAGGTTCTGGAGATAACACATTCCATCTAATACTGCCCTGGCCCATATACCAGGTGACAACTTCAAATAAGATTTGGAGCCATGTGACCTGGCAGATGCCAGGGTGGTGGAGATGACACTGGTGGGAAACGAAACGCTGTTAAGTTTATGGCAAAACCCAATGGGACGATCACAATACAAACACTTGGGATTTTGAAGGAAGAACATGCTAGCTGTAGCAGAAAATTATATGCCTTTCGAAAACAGCTTCTAGTGTGCTTCTGGGCCATGGAGGAGATGGGAAACTTGACCAGGGGATGCCAAGTGACTATGCCTCTATAACTTTCCATCATTAGCTGGGTTCTTTCAGACACACCACATCATAAAGTCAGATGGGCCCACCACCTGTTCATCTTCATAAGATGGAAATGTATTACATGCTTCATATTTGGCTATGGGAAAAAAAAAATGGAAATGTTATACCTGGGATCAAGCCCAAGCAGAATCACGTTAACATGGAAGAGACAAGAATATACATTTACAAATAAGCTGCATGGGCAGGCAACCCAGAACCCCATGTTACCCACTATAGTTCCAACAGCGTCCTTCACTCAGCTCATACCTGTGGCCATATTGGAACATGGGGGAGGGTCCAGCTGAAGCAGGCAGAAAAAGCCCAAGTTTGGTTTACAGGTTGGTCATCTCAGTATGTGAGTGCAAGCCAAAAACTGATGGCAACTGAAATAGAGCCACTCTCAGGTGACTCTGATGGCAGTGTCAAGGGAAATCTTCCCAATTGGCAGATAGTAAAGTGATTGCCCAATTTGTGTGAAAGGAGAAGTGGCTCAAAGTGAGACTATATATGGACTCATGGGCAGTGGCAAATGGCCAGATGGTCAGAGTCTTAGAAGGAAAAAGGCTGGAGGATTGGATATAACAAAGTCTGGAGTAGAGGTACATGCTTGGATATGCGGGAGAGAGCCCCAAGTGTGAAGATCTTTGCTTCACATGTCAATGCCCACTGAACAGCATCCACCGTGGAAGAGACCAAGTAGACAAAACAACTTGGCTGGTTTATGTCAGCCAGCTATTGACCATCTTGGAACTGGCACAAGGAACACATGAATGGACTGGCCATAGTGGCAGAAATGGAGGCTATGCAATGGCCCAGCAGCATGGACTCCCAACTTAGGCCAATTTAACAACTACTGTCTCTAAATCTTCAACTATACATTGGTAGAGACCAACACTGATCTCCTAACATTACACTGTTTCTCCAGACTAGTTGGCCACTTGATAGCAAGTTGACAACATTGGGCTTCTTTTATCCTAGAAGGGCCAGTGATTTGTTCTCATGTGAAGAGACTTACTTTTTCTGGGTAAGGATTTGACTTTCCTGTCTTCAGAGCCTCAGTCAGTATCACTACCTGGGGGCTTACAGGTGCTTGATACTTGTGGGTTGCTCTGACCAACATAGATTCCTCCAATAAGCTGAATATCCATTCCAAGCTGTCCTGCTACAACTCTTAATCTTGAAAGTAAATAATTTGCTTATGCAATCCAACTAATGTAACAATAACCAGTACTTGTCCACTATAGGGTTTTACTAGTAGAACCAGCTAGGAGGTTACTGCAGTATAGAATGTAAGAAATGATGGCTTGGATTAAGCTGGTGGTAGAGCAGAGAGGAGGAGGTCACAAAGAAATTTCTCCTCTATCCAGGTATCTTAGCTGTGACTTCGGAAGTAACAGCAACCAAAGTAAGCTAGTTTAAATAGGAAAGGCTATTCATTACAAGGACAAAGGGGTAGCTCATAGAATCTAAGGATTATGGCAGGCACCTGTGTCTCAGGTAGGTTCTAAAACTGGGGCCTACAGACACTGGGTTGCTCTCTCAGCTCATCTGCATTGTTTGCAGGTTGAAGATGCTCACTAGAAAGCTCCTAACCTTTAGGTCCATTCACTTAAACAGAAATTAATTTTTGTTCCAAGCCAGATTTCCATGGGGAGACTCTGATGGCCCAGCCTGGGTCAGGTGTCCACTGTTTGTAAGATACGGATGACTGAGAAGTTCCTGTAAAAAGGGGGAGGGAGAGATGGACAGCCCTGTAGTAGTCCACGACCCCGAGGACTTCACAAACTAGTTCTATGGGTTCAATTCAAACTGAGATAACATGAGGCAACAACAGTCTCAGAGTTATCTGGGACAATCCTGTTTCAGGAGTGTTACCTGAAATAGTATGGTTGTACAATACAATACCTACAGGGATCTAGAACCTGTCTTGAGTTAGGTTTTCCTGTGTGTTTAGACATGAGTATTGATAGACAAAAAAATGAAAACAATTTTATTTTGTAGGCCACAAAGCCCACATCTATTAGTTTTAAAAATGTGTCTTTTGAGAGGTGGGCTGTTCCAGACAGTTTCATGCCCCCTAAGTCCTCCATTCCAGCCCGGTCTCTTTGTTAACTAACCCGAGGCATCTCTGAACGTGTGGCCACTTAGTGATTGTTTGCTAAGTTTCTAGTAGTTACACTGCAGTATCTTCCATATTAACTTCCAACATTTATTTAGTGCTTACTCTGTGCCAGGCACAGCTCTGATTTTATGTGTATCAGCCAGGTGCCATGGCTCAAGTCTGTAATCCTAGCACTTTAGAAGGCTGAGAGAGGAGGATCGCTTGAGGCCAGGAGTTCGAGACCAGCCTGAGCAAGAGCAAGACCCTGTCTCTACTAAAAAGAGAGCACACCTGCAGTCCCAGCTACTTGGGAGTCTGAGGCAGGAGGATTGCTGGAGCCCAGGAGATTGAGGTTGCAGTGAGCTAGGCTGATGCCACTGCACTCTACCTGGGGTGACAGAGCGATACTGTCTCCAAAAAAAAAAAAAAAAAAGATGCTTTACAACTGGAAGAGAAACTAAAGAAGTTAACCATGCACATTTTGAAGGTTTCATTTTTCAATAAAATTTCAGTTTTTTTCATGGTAAGATTAGTCCCCTCCCCCTCCCTTTTTTTACTGACCAAGCATTCTGTGTTCTAGAATGACTGAGGTTGGACTTGGTTAATGAGGCAAGGCTAATGTCCGAGAACCTCTTCACTGCCCTTACCTGTACAGGACATATACCTGTATATGACATATGTTATTTTCTTCCAGTAATGTTGAGACATGTACTTAGTAGTATTATAATTTCCCTAATTTTGATATTGAGAAGACAAACTCAGAGAGGTTGGGTTGCCTAATTGAAAACCTAATACTCCTAAATAAGCAAGATAAGAGTAGTCACCTGTGCTAGCTTTTAACAGGCAGGCAACAATGTTTACTGAACGAGTAACAATGGCTAAACATTAAAGAGTGTCAGCCAGAGTAACTCCTTAGATTTAAATCACATTTTCTGGCCTAACGGGTCAAAAACAGGAAGAGCTTTCACCAGAGCTTTCACCACTGCATCCGTTTACTGCGTTGGGGCTCTCTAGTAAAATTTCAGGAAAATTTTGGAACTTTTAAGAGTATACTAAAAAGTTTATCATTTGTCGTTTACAATCACTAAAACCATAAAAGAACATTTTGCAAGGAAATGGAAAATGAAAAAAATTAAGAATAAAGCACAATCCTATTTCCAGAAAGATATATTAAAAGTATTTTTTAAAGTTTTTGTAATTATTAAAATGATGGCATAACATTCTGTGACACTGCACTCACTGTACGTTAACTTTTTATAAACAGTTGGAAGATATCTGTGCCCCAGCACGCCACACCAAGTGAAGGTCAAACACTCTACTGACACCTTTTTTAAATTCCTTTTTGTAGAAAATCCTTTCGTATGGGTTAAAGGATCGATTGTACGTTATTTTATGGGATTAAGAATAATCTGAACCCAGAGAAGCGGAGGAAGACAAGCCTCCACGTTTCAAGTCACTTCTCCCTCCAAGAAGCGCAGAGGGCAGGCGTCGGTCAAGGCCAAGGGCGGCAGCTCTGGGCCTGATCACCCAGCCCCCAGCAGCAGAGGCCGAGCTGAGCGCGACGCCCCTAACCGATGAAAACTGCCTCCCACCGAACGGCTTCCTGGGAGCAGCCAGCTGGTGAGGGCGTACGGAAACAGACGTGTGGGAGGAGTGGGGGCAGATCCCAAGCGTAAAGGAACCGCAGGCAGCTTCCACCTCCAACTCCCGCCCGAGCAACACCTGCCGAGACACCTCGCCGGGCCGCGGAGACAGGGCGCAAGATGGCGGCGCGTCACGTGAGTAACGCGGTGACGCAGGACGGCGGCCCGCGCGGAGGCACCGCCTTAACTTCACCCCCCACGCACACTTACACTCAGTTTTGCCCCCCTCCCCTCCCCCGCCCCCGGCCTGGTGATCATGCCGCCACTGGCGGCCCTGACTGCCGAGGAAACGGTAGCCTAGGACAGTTGGCTGTTAAGTGACACTGATTCTCCCCGCCCCGCCTGACCCTCGAGAAGGAGGGACGTCCCCCGCCGCGTGAGGGGGTGGGGAAGTGGGTAGTGAATTCGGATCCACCTGGGAGGGGGGAGTGGAAGTTCCCGCCCCGGACAGCGGCGAGGCGGCAGCCACAGGTAAGTGGGGGGCGGGGGTGGGACATGCCCCGTGGCCCCGGCAGAGGAGGGCGCGGGAACGCGGCGCGGACGGGGACGCCGCGTTGGGTCACGCGCCGGGTGGGGGTCGCGCGCGGTCGGCGGCGGTGGGGGAGGGGCACGGAGCGCGCGCGGCGGAAGGAGGAGGGGCTGCCGCTGTGCCCTGGCCGAGCGCGCTTCCGGTCCTGGCGCACTCTCTCTCTTTTTTCAGTCGTTCGTGTCCTCCCTCCGGTCGGCCCCAAATAAAAATACAATCGGAACCTTCCCACCGCGAGGTGGCTCTAGCCTCTGAAGCCGCCCCTCCGCTGTCGAAGGTCTCGGGGTTGGGACCGGAGCCGAGGGGAGGGCAGCGTGGCCTTGGCCTTGGCGCGAAGACCGCTGAGCGGGGCCCGGGGCCGGTTAACTCTGCGGGACGGTCCACGGAGCGCATTGGGCGCCTCGGTGCCAGGCCGGGCTACCCTGGAGGACAGAGACAGCCCTTACCCTTGTGGAGCTCGCAGTCTAGTGGAGCTACAGACAGTACGGGAATCACACAGACACAAAACCACCGCAGAGGTGCGAGAGATAGGCGAGGAACTGTGTCGTATGGCAGGTTTTCACCGGGCTGGGAATGACTAAAGGTCGTCTGTTTCCCCCTGGGCGGGTAATGCAACCGAGGAAACCTCTCTTTCTCCTGTATCGTAAAACAAAGCCTGATATTTCTCACCTTGAGCTGCGCCGTGGAGCGTGCAGCTTAATCGCTTTAACGTTGTAGATTTAGATAATGTCTGGTTTCGTTAGCTTTTGAAGAGCACTAGGCTAGTAATAGTTTTTGAGAGTCCTTAACGCTTCAGAGGCTGTTTCAGTTTAGATCTGGCAGGCATCTTTGTCAAACTGGCCTCAACTATGACAAGAGTTTGTACAGTATTTATGTTTGCAAAATGCATTTTATCCTGAGAATTTTGTTGCCAACAGAAATAAGTTTTATCAAAATGCGATTTTTATAGGCTTTATAACGTACAGTTACCTGTCTCAGCTAGAATCAATACTGTTGTCCTAAAGTTGAAAGCGTTAGCTCTGTAATATTTGTAGTTACCCTGTACTCGCTTCGGCAGCACATATGCTAAAATTGGAACGATACAGAGAAGATTAGCATGGCCCCTGTCCAAGGATGACACGCAATATTATTTTTTTTAATGTAAAAAAATAAAAATAAAAATTTGTTGTTATTCTTTAGGGTTTTGTTTGGTCTGTGATTTATCTGTGCAGTACTACTATGTCGCCAGTAGGTGGCACTCCCGTCTAACTCTAATGTAGAGTTATTTGCAAGTTTTCTTCTGCTTGCATTACCCCATTTCTAAAGCTGGGGTGAGGTAATTGTCTAAAGGTATTTCTTTAACCATTGTTCTGTCAATTTAAGTAGATAAACCCAAGTAAACACATTGATTTATTCCCCAATAATAAATGTGCAAGGTATTAGTGCTGTACTGGGAACAGGATGTGGTCTTTGTCTCCCTAGAGCATACACTCTGGTGGGGAGACAGAGAAACAGGCCATTAGAATACTGTGCTAAGTGCAACGAGAAGAGGTGGGACCATGTGCTGGGAGGATACAGCCAGGGCTTCTAGACCAGTCTGGGGGAGTCATGAAAGTTTGCCTGGAAGAATAACTCATAGAAATAGACCACATGAACAGGAAGGGGAATAGTGTTTCTGGCAGAGGGAATGGCATATATGAAAGCCAGAAGGGGAGAAAAAGCAAGGCAGGCATGTTTAAGGATCTGAAAGAGATTCAGGGTGACTAATCCGGAATAATTTGGAGGAGAGATAATGAGTTCAGTTGTGGAAATGTTGAGCAAGATACTGCCTGTTCTGCTTACCATAGTTCAGCATTCTCTACAGGTGAGGAACTAAGACCCTCTTCATTCATCAGATAAGAATGCTATACTGTAGCATTTGTTGGTATTTACTACATTAGGGTCTTTGGGCACTGAGCATACATTCCCATGATACAGATCCTATCTTCAGGGGGCTTAAAATTGGGGGAAACAGACATGCCAATAAACATACTCAGTGTTAAGTAACCTCATCAGAAATATGTGCAAGGAGGCCGGGCACAGTGGCTCACGCTTGTAATCCCAGCACTTTGGGAGGCTGAGGCAGGAGGATCATTTGAAGCCAGGAGTTTGAGATCAACTTGGGCAATGTAGCGGGACCACATCTCTACAAAAAATAAAAAAAATAGCCAGGCATGGTGGTGTAATCCTGTAATCCCAGCTACTTGGGAGGCTGAGGCAGGAGGATCACTTAGCCCAGGAGTTCAAGGCTACAGTGAGCTACGATCGAGCCACTCTATTCTAGGATAGACGACAGAGTAAGACCCCATCTCTAATAAAAAAAAGAAAAGAAATACACGCAAGTCACAGTGAAAGCATTAGAGGGACCTGGAGCAGAGACATCATGTGAGGGTATTCCTAGAAGAGGGCCAATATGGAATAAAAGAACAGAGAATTTGGATTAAAACAGTTGTGGCTTTAGGTCTTGCATTTACATCTCACTGTGAGATCCACAGTAAATGACAATGTTTTTGAGCCTCAATTTATACTTCTCTAAAATAGAGAATCCCAAGAGATGATATATTAAAGAGCTCTTAGTTTAGTGCCAGGCATAATATTCTTTTCTTTGCAAGTTTTCTTGAAAGTTTCTTGCCTTCCCTCACAGCCTTCCCTTCCCTGTGTCAGCAAGATCTCAGCCTGCTAGGATTTCTCAGTTCCCCAAATTTATTCCCATTGATGGTACTTTAAAAGCTGTGTTTCACTGCCCCCTTGTGATTCTGCCCAACATGGGGTTGTCTCATGTTCTTATAGCTGCTGCCTGGGGCTTGCTTTATTTTTGCAGAAAATGCTTTTTTGTTTTGTTTTTTGAGACAGAGTCTTGCTCTGTCACCTGGGGCTAGAGTACCATGGCGTGGGCCTAGCTCACAGCAACTTCAAACTCCTGGATTCAAGCAATCCTGCTGTCTCAGCCTCCCAAGCAATTGGGACTACAGGTGAGCACCATCACACCCACCTAATTTTTTTCTATTTTTAGTAGAGATGGGGTCTCGCTCTTGCTCAGGCTGGTCTTGAACTCCTGAGCTCAAAAGATCCTGCCCCCTCAGCCTTCCAGAGTGCTAGGATTACAGGCATGAGCCACTGCACCTGGCCAGAGAATGCATTTATATACAAAATTTATACTGTGTTGAACTAGTTTTTAACAGATTGTTACTCTTGACCTCAATTTTAGGAATAATAACTAAAAAAAAGTGAGCAAATAAAGGTTATACTTTGATAACATCAGTAAAACAGGAAGTATGTACTCTGTTTATAATGAGATGAAACTATAAAGCTGTTTTTATTTTGGAAAAAAGGGCTTGATTTGGTTAGTCGATTCTTTATAAAATAATAGAAAATACGTTATCTTCTTTTCTATAGGAAAAGTGGTTATAATTATTGTCCAAAACGTTATTTGTTGACTGTAGTGGCTTTTTTTTTTTTTTAAGTGGAGTTTAATTTTTTCTCCCAGGCTGGTCATGAACTCCTGGCCTCAAGCGATTTTCCACTTCCAGCCTACTGAGTAGCTAGTACTACAGGCATGCACCATAACACTTAGCTAATTTTTAAATTTTTTGTGGAGCCCAGGTCTTGCTGTTGCACAAGCTGGTCTTAAACTCCTGGCCTCAAGTGTTCCTCCTGCCTCAGCCTCCCAAAGTGCTGGAATTACAGGTGTGAGCCAGTGCACCCTGCCTAAATATGTTTTTATTTAAAACCTAGAAAATATTTGTGATAAATAGAAACAGGATACAAAATGTGAGGATACAAATATGTATATATAGTACAGTTATGGCTTTTTAAAAAGGTGTGGAAATAAACTGGGCGTGGTGGTGCACACCTGTAGTCTCAGTTACTTAGAAGGCTGAGGCGACAGGACCACTTGAGGCCAGGAGTTTGAGGGTGCCACTGCAGTCTAGCCTGGGTGACACAGCGAGACTCCATCTCTTAAAAAGAAAAAAAAATTTAAGAAAAAAAAAAAGACTGAAAAGAAATTAGGCAGTATTGTGATTAAGATTTTTCATCCTTATTTTCTTTCCACATATCTTTTCCACATTGTAAGAAAAAGGCTAGGCTGGGTGCAGTGGCTCATGCCTGTAATCCCAGCACTTTAGGAGACTGGGGCAGGAGGATCACTTGAGCCCAGGAGTTTAAGACCAGCCTGGGCAACATAGTGAGACACTGTCGCTACAAAAATTATTTTAAAAAGTTAGCCAAGCGTGGTGGCGTGAGCCTGTAGTTCCAGCTATTGGAGAGGCCGAGGCAGGAGGATCAGTTGAGCCCAGGAATTCAAAGTTACAGTGAGCTATGATTGCACCACTGCACTTCAGCCGAGGGGAATCAGAGTGAGACCCTTTCTCTAAAATGCATAAATAAACAAAAGAAAAAGGTTAATGATATATTTGAGGGAAGAAAATTAAAACCACTTTATGTGTGAGGTGACTTTATGCCGTCTTTTCAGTGACTAAAAAAATAGCTTCAATCCAGATGTTAAAAATGAATTTCTGTAGACTGTTTCTTAAGAGCAAAAAATAAAATAATGAGTTTCTGTTTTCTGATTTCAAAGAAAAAGGACTTAAACTTCACAGTTAAGTCAGTGATGCTAAGGGACAGGTGTCTATTTGCACCCGCCCCCCCGCCACCTTTTATTTTTTTAATTGTGGTAAAATACACATAACACAGAACTGACCATCTTAACCATTTTTAAATGTATAGTTCAGTAGTGTTAAGTACATTCACATTATTGGGCAATCAATCTCCAGAATTTTTTTATGCCCATTAAACAACTCTCCATTTCCTCCTCCTACTGGCCCCTGGAAACTACCATTCTATTTTCTGTTTCTATGAATTTGACTACTCTAAGATACCTCATGTAAGTAGAATCATACACTTTTTGTCTTTTCATGAATGGCTTATCACTTAGCGTTCATTAATATGGTGAAAGTTCATCCATGCTGTATTATGCGACAGGATTTTATTCCTTTTTAAAGCTGAATAGTATTCCATTGTATGTATATCTTCTATTTTATTTATCCATTTATCCACTGATCAATATTTGGGTTGTTCTGCCTTTTGGCTATTGTGAATAATAATGCTACTATAAACATGGATATACAAATATCTCTTCTTTTTGAGACCCAACTTTTAATTCTTTTGAATATATATGACCACAAAGTGAAATTGTTGGATCATTTAGTAATTCTGTTTTTAATTGTTTTGAGAAACTGCCATACTGTTTTCCATAGCAACTGTGCCATATTACATTCCCACAGCAATGTCCGGGGGGGGGGTTCCAGTTTCTCTACATCCTTGCCAACACTTACTTTCTGTTTCATGTTAGCTTTTTTTTTTTTTTTTTTTTGAGGCAGGTTCTCTCTCTGTTGCCCAGGCTAGAGTGCAGTGGCATCATAGCTAGGATTACAGGCATGAGCCACCACACCCAGCCCCTGTTATTGCCATTCTGATGGGTGTGAAGTGGTATTTCATTGTGGTTTTCATTTTCCCTAATGATTAATAATACTGAATCTCTTTTCATATGCTTATTGGCCAGCCTTGTCTTTGCATGTAACCATGAAAACCCTAAATTCTACCCAAATCTTTTGCTAGTCTCTTTGTTAGTGGTTTTCCCTCCGTTTGTCATATTTGATCTGTCATAACCCATTTATTCTCATTCTTAACCAGCCTACATATTCTTGAGTTGTCTGGAATGTTTAGCTCTTTAGAACCTCCTTAGGTATAGTTTTGTTTATTTGTTCTACTTTTACTCAATAAATTCTCTATATAAAATTGTATGTACAATTAGAAATCGTTCCCTAGACTGGAGAAAGGAATGTGTATGTCCATGGACAGGAAAGCTGTCATATTTCTTGAGTGGGATAACATTTGAAAATTTAGTCACAATAATTTATGTACATATGTGCCTTTTATTAAGTTTAAACGTGTTCTTGTGGATCAAAATTCAGAAAAGAATATGTAAGGAAAAGTCTCTTTTCTATCTGTATCCCATAGCTACGAGGTCTCTTCCATAGAGGCAACCAAATGATCAATTTTTACATGACTGTATAGTATACTATAACTATTTTGCAGTTTTTATTTTAACTGACTTTTTTTCTCTTACAGTTGATTATGGAAGATTCCCACAAGAATAACACTTCAGAGACAGCACCTCAGCCTGGTTCAGCAGTTCAGGGAACCCATATTTCTCATATTGCTCAACAGGTAAGGCAGGGACCAGTCAAAATCTTGAGCTAGTTAGGAATATTTTGTATGCAGATTAAGCTGTTGGTTCAGATCTCTTTTTACTAATGTTCAAACAAAGAACCAAGGATAAAAGACTGTGTAAAATGTTAAAATATAAGGAGGGAAGTTGGGTTTGATTAAAGTATCTTGTCAAGACTGTTGGTTTTATTTTCTTTTATACTAAGTATATAGTCATCCCTCAGTATCTTCGAGGGATTGGGTCCAGAACCTCCCTCAGATACCAAAATCTGCAGTGCTTAAGTCTCTGATAAAAGATGGCTGAGTATTTGTATATAACCTATGCACATCTTACCATATACTTTAGGTCATTTCTAGATTACTTATAATACCTAACATAATGTAAATGCTATGTAAATAGTTGTTATACTGTATTGTTAGGGAACAATGACAAGAAAAAAGTCTGTACATGTTCAGTACAGACACAATTTTTTTTCCAAATACTTTTGATCCACAGTTGGTTGAGTCAATGTATGTGAAACCCATGGCTGCAGAACCCACAAATACAGAGGCCTCATTATATTTAGAGTTGGTTTGTTAAAACTTAGAGAAGTAAGTTTCATTTTACATGGTGCACAATTATTTAGATTTTTTTCCATACTAATTTTGTTGCTACATCAGAAAAAAGTGAAAAATTATTTGGCTTTTTGAGCTAACTTGAAATAGAGACTAATAGTTTCAGAAGGTGAAACATCTTCATTACAATAGCTTTATTTTGGATATATAGGAAATATTTTTGCTTAACTGGGAAATAGGTATCTTCATTAGAGGAATTTACCTAAACTGACAGGCATGTGTATTGTAGAACTGATGATAGATTTTTTTATGTCAAACTGTGTAATCCATGAACCTGACCCCGTTCAAATAAAACCGACAATGTTTGTTGCTAGTGATAAGATTTGAACTTTCAAGCAAAAATTAGAATTTTGGAAAACTTGTATTCACCATCATGAACTTGACAGCTTCGCAATACTTATAGACTTTTTAGTTACAAAACTGTCTTACAAAATCATGCATGGGTGTGAGAACCATTCAAAGTGCAAGATAGACTAGTGGATTTTATAGACACAAAATTTTTTATATATACAAAGTTCAGATTGTACATAGCAAATAACCCTTGCGAAATTACAACTTTGCTGTTGTGTCAAAGAATATCTAGTTGTCTGAAAAGGATGTTAAAATGCTATATATCTTTTCTAACTACATATCTGTGTGAGGTCATATTTTCTTCCCGTACCTCAACCAGAACAACATATGATAGCATATTTAATGTAGATTTAATCAGATAAGACATTAAGGAGATTTGCAGAAATGTAAAACATTGCCATTCCTCTAATTTGTTTTGGAAATTATATTAATGGAAATATTTATGTTAACATGTAATGGATTTGTGATTATTTTAGAATGAACTGTTAAATATTTTTTAAAGTTTTGTTTTAATTTCAAATATGATATGTATCAATAGATATAATCAACATAAGTAAACATTTTGTGGGGTCCTTAATAATTTTTAGGAATATTTAAAGGTCTTGTGACCAAAAGGTTTAAGAACCAGTGACCCAAAGGGTTAATCCTTCAAGATTGATGATGCATTCTTCTCTATTACTTGTTTATCTCTGTGAAGAATAACACTATCCTTTGATGGTGCTGGAAAAACAAGGTGGAGTTGTCCTGTGGTTATCTTTCTGTTAATAGAGCCCTTTACAGAAATGTTTAATTCAGTTGGCTTACTTATATATTCTAATTATTTTGGTTAGACGTGAATGTTTTCAAGTGTCCTTAGAAGCATATTTACGGTGAGGTAGAATAAGTACATTTCCAGGTGGTAATTCATTTTATAGTGGTTTGTAAAAATAATTTTAGTAACTTTATATCCAAAGTCTGTGGCTTGACTACTTTATTAGACTCTAAATTCTGTAAGGAAACAGTGTCTAACACAGTAATTGAGTATAAGCTGGGGATATAGCAGTGAACAAAAGTCTCAGCTCTTATGTAACTTACATTCAAATTTTGAGGAGACAGGTAACAAAATATATCAGTTGGTAATACCTGCTATGGAAACAAACAAAACAGGGTAGGAGGGATAGGGAGTTGGTGGTTGGGACAGGGAGACTTGCCGTTTTTATACAAGGTAGTCGGAGAAGTCCTATCTGAGGAAACACTTGTTCAATTATATGGGTCAACAACTGTCAAACTCTCACGCTGATATGTGCTTGACATGCTCAAGGAACAGCAAGGTGGCCAGTGTGGTGGGAGAGGGACAAATGAGCCGGAGTGATAGACGATGAGGCAGAGAGGGTTGGGAGGGGAGGGGAGAGTGCCAGATAATGTAGGCCTTGTATGCCATTGTAAGATTTTTGTGTTTTGTTATGTTTTTTTTTAGAGATAGGGTCTTCCTCTGTTGCCCAGGCTGGAGTGCAGTGGTACCATCATAGCTCACTATAGCCTCGAACTCGTGGGCTCAAGCAATCCTCCTGCCTGAGCCTGTCGAGTAGCTGGGATTACAGGTACATGCCACTGTGTCCGGCTTATTTTTGAATTTTTTGTAGAGACAGAGTCTTACTACATTGCCCAGGCTGGTCTCAAACTCCTGACCTTGGAGATCCTCCTGCCTCAGGCTCCCAAAGCACTGTAATCACAATCATGAGCCACTGCACCCAGCCATTTTTATGTTTTAATCTGGGAACCTTTAGAGTATTTTGAGTAAAAACATCATCTGACATATTTTAAAGGAATCACTCAGGCTGCTTTATGGAGTAGAAGCAGTAAAACCAGTTAGGACGTGTTATAGTCACATACATGAGAGACAGTGGCTTGGACCAAGGTGGTAGCAGTGGTGGTAGTGAGATAAAGTTAGATTCTGGATGTAGATTGGTTGTAAAAGCAGTAGTGTTTGCTTTGGGATTGGATGTGGAGTTTTAGAGAAAGGAGTAAAGATTGACTCCACAGCTTTTGGATTGAGTAACTGTAAGAGTGGAGTTGCCATTTATTGAGATGGAATGTGTTTTTCTTTCATTTTTGAGGGGGTTGTTGGAAATCAGGAATTTGGTTTTTAGGTATGTTAAGTTTATAGTACTATATGTATTAGTTTTTTGTGCTGCAAAACAAATGACCACTAACTTAATAGCTTAAAATAATACACTTATTATCTCATAGTTTTTGTGGGGTGAGACACATTTTAGCTAGGTTCTCTGCTTCAGGGTCTCACACCAGGCTGCAGTCAAGGTGTTGGCTAGGGCTGGGTTCTTATCTGGAGGCTAGACTAGAGAAGAATCCACTTCCAAGCTCACCAAGGTTGTTGGCAAAATTCTTTTTTTTTGAAACAGAGTCTCACTGTGTTGCCCAGGCTAGAGTGCCGTGGCGTCATCCTAGCTCACAGCAACCTCAAACTCCTGGGCTCAAGCAATCCTTCTGCCTCAGC